AACAACAACAGCACAATGAATTTCAGCAAAAATCTCTCTATTAACTTGCTTACTTTGTATTTTTTAAGTCTTTCTCCAGCAGGCTCATTTTCTCCAGAATAGTCCTAAAACAAGAGAAAATGGATACACTTATGAAAAATATAAAGACAGGTTTGCAATCATTAGAAAATATGACACAGCAGGACATGCATACAAAGTACTGAAGTGCTAAAGTTTGGTTAAAACATTTGTAGACATGACAGCACTACAAAAACACAACAAAAAGAAAGACTATTGCCTTATATAGTGGTTGTCTTATTGTTTGTTTTTTAAACCCAAGCTTTTAATACTTGTTTCGCTAGGTATTTGAGTAAATGAAAACACAATACTTACATTTCAATGTGAATTCCCCCACAGAACTCTCACCCGCTGTGTTCTTTGAATATAAATTCCATTGTCAACTGCGCGCAAGTGATTCTGGGATATGGTAGAGTGCAAAGTGTCCATCAGATGTACACTTCATTTTCCTGGGAAATGGAGGGTGCATTTGAAGTAGCTTTAAAATACGTCAGCCTTCGTGATGCAATCAGCCTTGGAATGCGGTCTTCGGAGGGTGCATCCTGAATTGGGACAGTTTACGTCGTGACGCTGTGACCATTGCGCCGCTGTGACGCAATCGCACTTCAAATGCACCCTTCGGAGTCCGTGCACTTCACTTTTGGACACAGATTCAGCTTTATACGTATTGTTGCTTAGTATTAAATATAGCTTCAGATACTTCAGATTCAGGGCCCTATGAAATCCGTTTTATTTTTTATAAATAGTTTTCTCCGTTTTAATTCTTCTGGATTCAGGGTTTTTTCCCCCTCTGTTTTAACTTTTCTGCATAAAAAAAAAAATAAAATAAAAAATAAACATCATATGACCCCTTTAATCTATTTTTTATTCCAATGAAAATTAAACAAACCCTTTCATTTTTGTACATTCATAGCACTACACAACAGTCAGCCTGTGTAACGAGGAATGTCAAAAAAGGGGCGTTGATTCTTGAGCGCGTTTCACTAGAGTTTCGTGAGAGGAACAGGTACAGCGAGTTGACGCGCTTCCGGACGCAGGTGAGAGAGTAGCCGTCATGAACGCGAGGATCAAAAAGAAAAGCGGCTGCCTCGCGCTCTTCGCTTGGACGCTGAGGTCTTGATCCTTTGGGATTTAAAATAACCCTCCGCTGGTATCACAGCAGTTTCTCAGGTGAGCTCAGTTTCTCTTTCAGTCGGGTGGTTGTTCGTCTCAGTGTGTTTTGAAAACAGCTCGTCAAACCAGCTTCGCCACCGGATTCCGCGACTGACTGTCTGACTGCCTCATCTTGAGCTGATAAAACTCACCTCACTCCAACACCGCCGCTGCTTGCTTAATACATTATCTCCAAACTCGGAAGTCAAATAATATGTGAAGAATTGATCATCAGTAACGAAAGTCCCATATAAAGCAGGAATCAGATGACAGTATGGTACTTTAATATAGGGCAGTGTATTGAATACCATGGTATTGACGTGCGTGAGGGATGTAATGTGACTGTGAGGTAGGCCTACGTCTATGTCTAAACTTAACCTTTGTTTCTCATGATTTTAAATAGTTAATTTTAAATACCAGTTGAAATGTTTGAAATTAGTTTTGTAGATTAAATCGAGTTTGTGTATGAATTCGCCAGGATTCACTTTGAGAGTTGATACACTCTAAAAAAAAATGCTGGGTTAAATACGTACAAAACCAGCGATTGGGTTGCTTTCAACCAACAGTTGGGATAAATGTTTAAATGGTTTATCCATATTTTACCCAGCGCTGGGTTGTATTGTACCCAGCATTTTTTTTTTAGAGTGTAAGCACCAAAACACCACTTGTGGTCATTATATATTTTATATACTTGTTATTTCATACTATAAGCTATATATTGTTATTTTTTTTCCCTTCACATTTTATGAGTGAAAACAAAGTCAACAAGAGTTTAACACCTACACTTTGACTATAATGTATTAAAAATATATAAATATTACCATCCCGGTAGGGACAAAAATGTTTTATGATGCATTTTATGCTGCTTTTTTTTTTTTTTTTCTTTTTTTTTTTAAGTGTGTTTACCCAAAAATGTAAATTCTGTCTGTGTGACTTATTTTGAAGAATTGTACTTGTTAAAATGAATGGGAACTGAAGGTTTCATGCTTCAAAAGGACACAAAAACAGCATTATTAAATTGCATCATGTGCTGTATTTCCAGGTCTTTCAGAGTCAAAAATAGTTCAGATTAAGGAAAAGACACCAGTTTAGTCAATTTACTGAAAGCCATACAGCTTTGGAAACGACTTGAGGGTGAGTTCAGTTCATGTTCAGCTGCGTGAAGTGTTTTTGTGGATGTCCTTGTAGCTTTAGGTTAGTGCTGTTCTCCCAGACTAATAATTAACCCCATCAGTCCACAGCCGAACAGTAGACTCTTTTGAAATTATCTTCTCATCTGTGAATGTGTTTGTGAACTGTAGGAATTCATGTCTTGCTTTTATCTTCCTCCTCCACTAGGTTAAAGTTCCCTTCCAAAATGTAAAAGGATGACCACTGTGTAGTCACAATTAACCAGGTACTTTGCTCTCTCTCTCTCTCTCTCTCTCTCTCACACACACACACACCCACGGATACTCACATTTTGTGTCTTTTTGAACAGACACACCCTTGAACCACTGTTACGCAGATATTCTCAGTCTGTGTTTGTTTTCACATGTGCATGTGTGGAGCATCATGAGTTCGGAGAGCACGTTGGGCCTGTTCATGCCGCTGTTGTTCCTGCTGACTCTGGCCTTGGTTTTGTTCTCGTGCGTCCTCCGTAAGAGGCAGCAGATGGAGGGATCATACCAGCCCAGCGCGGAAGAGCGCAAACAAGCCAAGAACCACGGAGCCGAGAGACCCGGGCTCGCTCTCCCACTGCCCAAAGAGGAGAGACTGATCTGAACGATGCTCAAACCACACCACTGTTTAGGTTGATCAGGTAGACCTAAACAGATCTTTCATTATAACTTAATATTGATATTTATGTGGAGTCCACACACGTGTGCAGTCCTGACAAACAAGTGGAGGGTCATGGATGGAGAACGTTTGAAGTGGTGGTGGGTATTTATTTGGCATTTTTGAGAGAGAGGTGAGAATGCTTTCACATCGCAATGCACTGTTAATGCTGACAAATCAATTCAAGTATGCATGAAGAGGTTTTGCTATCACACTTGGGGTATCTGAAGACACTGGGAAGTGCATTCATCAAAAGTAAAAAAAAGCCAGATGGTTTACATGGACAGCCAAACCAGTTTGACTTTGTTTACTTCATCTGTACTTTAAGTTTACTCACCTGAGAGTCTTCATGAAGGAGTCACGTGGCAGCTTTACCTCCAAAATAGTTTACCATTGTCATACTGAATACTTTAAATGACCAAAAGTGAATGTTATGTTGCAGTTTTTTTTTTTTCAAAGGTGGAGAGAAAAATATATACTGCACTTTGCCAAATGTTGTTTTGTATTAGGTTTGCGTTTCTGTAATGTCTGTAACACATCCATATTTGTTGATCATAACGTAATGAAGTGACTGTGTATGATTAATTAAAATGCATCTGTGAGTAAACAACCTTGTCCTTAGTTGCATTCGAGAGTTTTTGGTTTTGGCTGTGTCAATATTTGCTCCGACTTAGCAACTAGTCTCATTAGGTTTTTATAAATGATTAAATATATTTGGATAAAAAAGTGTTGGACTTTCTTTATTGGTCAGAATTGGTGCATTTATCAGTTTATTTTGATAACATTCTGCATTTAGCTACAATGAAAGGTAAAATCGACCTGATTTACTTTAATGCACGTTCAGTGTACATTATTCCAAGGGGAAAAACAATCCTTCACCAAATTGGAGTAACTTGCATTGCCTTTGATTCGACTTTATTGACTGATGTCAGCGTTAAGTTTTAACCAACAGGCGCATGAGACAAATAACCTTCCACAATCTTAAAGTTCAGTATGGAACGCTTATCGAACTTGACTCAGCAATGTTGCCTCACAAGAATCAAAATGGGGCGCAAGTGTTGTTTCGTGTAGACTTGTAATTGACAATCTAAAAAAAAGTCATTTTTAGTTCTTCAGTTTAGTTTCGCTTCAGTATGCTTGATTTGTGATGATCTAATGTTCAAATCTCTTCTTCAGCTCTGAGACCTTAATGGGAGCCTGGGTTTGTTCTTCTGGTGTTGATGAAACAGGCGATTTCATACTTTGTTCTTCAGTCTGCAGGCCCGTCATTGGTCCCACATTGATTTTGTGGGTTCTGATGGGAGTTTTTAGAGATTTATCCCACCCTCGGGAACCAGAAGAGTCAGCCGAGGACTGGAACAGAGCAACGGTAGACAAAACGTTTGGTGATAGAGGTTCAATGCTCTTCTTATCTAGCTCTTCTCTTTTATCTATCTTTACATTGTGAGAAACAGCGGAGGTAATTCCTTCATTTGTTGGTCCATTTGGGCCCAAGTCATTTGTCGTCTTATGCTCTTTCTGAAGTTCTTCTTTGTCAGGTTGCATCTCTGTCCTCTCTGTAACTTCTGTCTCGGTTTCCAAGCTTTCCTCCATTGTTCCGTTCATTTGTCCATCATTTTTCGACCAGCTGTCCTTTTGTTGCTCCTGAGAACCCACTTCGGGATCCAGAGAAGCATCCTCTAGAATTTGTAGATCTGAACACAGATTTTCCCCTAACTCGGTCAAGTCCTTCTCTAATTGTTTAAGCTCATTTTCTGGCCTGTCAGTCAGGACATCAGGCTCCTCCCCCTCACCACCAGGCCCCTCCTCTAGCTCCTCCTCACAGCTCATGAGACTTCCGCTGTTTCCAAAAGAGGGACTTAGACTCTCCTGACTTGGGTTGGTCAGACTCTTCTGAAAGAGAAATGAAATGGTGAGAGAGTGACCTTTTCCACAGATAGGTTCCCGGTGCTGGACTATTTGTCAAGTTTTCAAAAACACAAGTCAGGTAAGACTGACACAACACTAATTCAATTAATTAGTGAAGCCTTTCTTGTTCATGTTGTTTTCATGCAGCAAAGCCATTTTATTTTCTCAGTTCACCTTAAATATGTTTGAAATGATTACTTTGCATTTCAGTCATAGAGGGCCCTATTATCATAGTGTTTTTTGCTAGTTTCAGCCCGACGCAGTTCTCATTTTCCCGTCCTGCGCCACGTTGTTTAAATAGCAAATGCATTTGCGCGCAGCAGCATACAAACATTTTTAAAAATTAAATTCCGCCATGTAAATAGCGAACCCGCCATGGCGCGAGCACAACTGGCTTTTAAAGGGGATGGGAGATGAGACTCTGATTGGTTTATTGCACGTTACGCCCAAAACACACCCATTACTCATTAAGAGAATAGGGACAACCCTTTTAGACCATGCGCCCGGGTGCGCCAACCGTTTTCCCGTCATTAAACTAGCAAAAGTGGATTCGGACACGCCTTGAGTGCACCTGCGTCGTGCACTTTAGACCATGCACTTAGATCGTTAAAATAGGGCCCTAAGTATTTAGCCCTTATGGTATGTTGTAGCTGAATAACAATGTAATGGCTTCCTTTACTACTTCACCTTTTAGAGAAAAAACAAAACAAAACATTTTGGAAATAAAAAGTTGGACTGTTGCTGTTGAAAGCCACATTACTTTTTATCCAAAAGATCCTAACAGAGGTTCTCCATGAAATGCTATAATTAATAATAATAATTAATAATTATACATTTAGGTGTCTTTTTCTTTTTCTGCATCTTCAGTAAGATAATTAAATGGTGTTAACTGATTCAGTCTTATTTTAATATTTATATTTTCCATTTATTTGAATTAAGAAATTTTGTTTTGTAATATATATTCACAGTTCTGGCATGAAACTCTAGATGGCGCAGTCCATCAAAGTCAATATGACATATGACATCATTATCACATGACACAGCTGATTGGTTCTCTCCTGTAGAGGTAGCCTATGAGCTCGCTGCTTAACATTTAAATAATTGGTCTAGTTTGCTGTAGCAGTAGCAGCACACTTCAGAAACCCTCCACCTTCCCCAGCTCCACCTGTATAGATCTGCTACGGGGTGATAATATATGCTATTGAGGTTATTCCATATATGTTATATGTGCAGCAGCAATATTTCTTACACGCTCACAACAGCATGTTGCAAGTCTCGGTATACTTGCTTTGCCGCAGCAGCGTAGCAGATCTCTTCCGCGAAGACCAAACACATTAACATTGCCATGTACATTACCATGCAAATCACTCATGAGTTGTCATGACAGATTATTTTATATATTATATATATAATTAATTTGTAATTTGCTTTTAGTACTTCCTGTTTTGGCAACTTTAGCTGATAGCTGATTTAATTATGTTTGAAAGTGTTTAACATGGTAATGGTTTCCTCAATTAGGATTTCAAAGTGTAAAAATGCATAAATTATTAAACTATTAATATTAAATCAAGCAGAAATGGATAATTTAAAAAAGGACCCATTTTCCATTGTAATACAGACATGCCATTTAGCAACAATTCCCTAGTTCCTGTACGATTTCTTCTAATTATTAGAAGGAATGTTGCTATTTACGTCAAAAATCATGTGTGAAAAATATTCCACCATTATAATGCATACCATACAGGGCTAAATATCTTCTGATTGTGATGCCAGTGTTGTAAAGACTTGAAATGTGCTCTTAAGGCTGAATGCAGCTTGTTTGTTGCAGGTTAAGCCAGACACCCTGTCCAGCACCGTTTAGATGTAATTTGTGAGAGGATCCAGGCCTTACATGTGAGATGAATTCACTGCTGTCGGAGCTGAAGAGGTCGAGGCTGCGTGTGCCGTAGAGTAAACCCGGCTCTCTGGAGCTCTGAGCGCTCAGCGTGTCGAAGATCTCACTGAGCAGATCCATCTCCTCCGGGTCGGCCAAGAGAGAGAGCTCATCATCTTCCTGTAAGTCGCTGGTGCCAGAGCACTGCTCGAGACTTTCTGTTACACTGGAAAGGGACATGCATTGTAAAAAAAAATACATAAAACGGCAAGGTGTGCATGCATCTGTGTCCTCTCATCTCACCTGTCCTCATAGGTGGTGTTGTCATCCTCTGTCTGTTGTTCATTGCCCTGGTGGCTGCTGGTGCCCTGCTTACGTGTCGGCCGGCGTGGTCGAGACTGAGAAATAAAGCAGCATAGAAAGTGTAGAAAAAAACTAACCATATTTACAAAGTAAAGTAAATCTGTTGTATTGTGGTTGAACACAAGGTGGAGCCAAACTGCATGAATTATATACACAAGTCCAGTACACAGTATATATTAGTCAGTAAGTTCAAAAAGATAAATTATTCAACAAGGTTGCATTAAATTGATCAAAAGTGAAGACATTTATAATGTTATAAAATATTTCTATTTCACATAAATGCTGTTCTTTTGAAAAATGTTTATTCATCAAAGAATCCTGAAAAATAAAATATATCAGGGTTTCCACAAAAATATGAAGTAGCACAACTGTTTTCAACACTGATAATAATCAGAAATGTCTTTAGTAAATCAGCATATTAGAGTGATTTCTGAAGGGTCATGTGGCACTGAAGACTGGAGTAATGATGCTGAAAATTCAGCTCTGATCACAGCAATAAATTACATTTTGCAATATATTCACACAGAAAACAGTTCTTTGAAATTGTAATAATATTCCACAATATTGCTGATTTTACTGGATTTTTTAAAACCAAATAA